ATGCGCCATTGGGCGCTTGTGCGCATAATGTGGAGACTTTAAAAAAAACCCTGCTCGTGACGGGACATGGGCAGGCACCGGATGCCACAGGATTCCACCGGAAACGCAATCAGGCGTCCGCCATTGCCCCGCAGTTTTTGGAAACTAGTACCTCGGAGGTACTAGTTTTTTACCCCGCATCTTCGGCGGGAAGCCTCAGGTTCGGCACGGGAGCTCTACGCTTCCCAGATGTGGCGATGTAATCGCACCTGGAAAATCCGCCTATCTTCCATCTCTGTAGTATGGCTAATGTTCCATGTGACCGCAGCCTTTAATAGTTTTAAAGATATTAGCAAAAACTAAACTATTTTAGATAAAGAATCCCTGGAAAGAACATATAAATGTAAAATACCATGATTCGAATATCTGCAAATAAAACATCTGTGGCACTTTCAGTTCTTTAACACAAAAAACTATAGACCTTATACTTTTTTTGAAAAGATATTAATCTCGAATCGAATATCATGCCGAGGTATGATCTCAATGTTTTATAAAGAGATACTACTTTGTTCAAATGCAACATATACCACATACCAGCTAGCATGGAATACAGACTGTGCCATCCCATTAACAGAAAACACTTGGAACAAAATTTGGACTTCCCCAAGCATAACTTCGCATTCATTAAACATTAGAGCCCAGGCATTGAAGCTATTATTACGATGGTATCACACACCCTCGAAATTGCACCAGATAAACAGAACCTATTCACCTCTATGTTGGAGAGGATGTGGAGAACATGCAAACTATTACCACTGCTGGTGGACCTGCAAAAAAATAAAACATTTTTGGCTAACCATTAAACAAGCTATCAAGAATATAACTAATATAGACTTACCTCTTTCTCCAGAAGTGATGTTGCTTGATTTATGGCAAGATATTAAAATCCCACATTTACGCAAGGAACTTATTTCAACATTATTGATGGCAGCCAAATCCGTTATAACAAGTAATTGGAAAAGCTCAACTTCCTTAATGTTACACCAATGGTATATGAAAGTGTGGGAACACTATACTTTAGAAAAAATAACAACATCAATGCCAACTGCTAATAGCTTTAAAAAACAATCTTTGTTTTATTCCAAATGGGTAGATTTCATAGAAGCAGCACCCTCAAAATCTATTATTCCAGTCTCCACTATACCACAAAGATATAAGGAAATAATTACCATATTTTAACTCACCTGAAAACCTATAACAATATATGATAATTGGTTTAATGATAGTTTGTTTTAGTTATGTAGAAAAGTTGTAATTTTTTAAATTTTTATAAATACTACTACAAAATAAGATTATTCATATGTAACATTCGAAAATCAATGTTATGTTGCAGATCTTTATTATCATGCTTATATGTTTATTATATTATTGAAAATTATAAATAAAATTTTTAAAAAGACTGGAAATAAACAGCCAGTGAAGATCTTTCAAGAGTGATATGCTGCTTGTGGTGCATGCCAACTAAATCTTAACTGCTGTATTCCACACCAATTGAAGCTTTTGAACCATCTTCAGGAGGCAGGCCCATGTAGAGCATGCTACAGGAATCAAACCTGGAAGTAGGGAGAGCATAGATCACTGTGGGCTGATCACATTTCTTGAAGTAGAGCTGTAGTTGGCAAGCCAACTGAAGGTGGTTAAAGATGCTACGAACTGGGGATGAACTCTGAGCATCCATATGTAGATCTGGATCTAACAGCCCTCTCGAGCTGCAGACCTGCTCCTTTAGAGGGAGCAGAGCCCTAACTAGAGTAGTCTTTCTCCACTTTCCACAATCAACACCAAATAACAGTATCTCAGTCTTTTCTGAACTGACCCTCATCCAGCCCATTACGGCTGGGCAACTTAGAATCATAGAATCGTACAGCTGGAAGGGGTCATACAGGCCATCTATTCCAACTCCAAGTGTTCCTGGATGAAGCAGATTGTTTGGATCTTTTGCCGTCTGGTTTCAGGCCTAGTTATAGGGCTGAAACAGCATTGGACGCTCTGGTAGATAACCTGCGCCAGGAGACAGACAGAAGGAATGCAATTCTGTTGGTTCTTCTGGACCTCTCAGTGGCTTGTGATACCATCAGTCATGGTATCCTTCAAGACTGGCCTTTCCAGGTTGGGAGTGGGAGGCACTGTTTTGTGGCAGTTCTGGTCCTGCTTGGAGGGTAGATTTCAGAAGGTGGTGCTGAGGGACTGCTGCTCAGCTCCTTGGCCTCTGACAAGGTTCCATCTTGTCCCACATGATTTTCAGCATCTACATGAAAACACTGGGTGAGGTCATCTGGAAATTTGGGCTGGATTGCTACCAATTTAAATTGCTGAGCAGTCAGGTTAGAACAGATAAAAGGAAATACTTCTTCACCCAAAGAGTGATTAACACATGGAATTCACTGCCACAGGAGGTGGTGGCGGCTACAAGCATGGATGGCCTCAAGAGGGAGTTAGATAAGCATATGGAGCAGAGGTCCATCAGTGGCTATTAGCCACAAGGTATAGATAGGAACTCTCAGTCTGGGGCAAGTGATGGCTCTGAATTCTTGGTGCTTGGGGGGCAACAGTGGGAGGGGTTCTAGTGTCCTGGTCCCACTGCTGGACCTCCTGATGGCACCTGGCATTTTTGGCCACTGTGTGACAGAATGTTGGACTGGATGGGCCATTGGCCTGATCCCGCACTGGCTTCTCTTATGTTCCTATGTTCAATGCATGGATGACAGCTCTATCTCGAACTTCTGGCTTATCCCAGGGAGGTTGCAGAAACCCTGCAGTGGTGCCTGGAAGCAATTTTGGTGTGGATGTGAGTTAATAAACTGACACTTAATCACGACAAGATAGAAGAGCTAGTGGTGAGCAGGTCTGACTTGGGACTTAGTCACCCATTTTGGATGGGGTTGCACTTCCCTTGAAGGAACAGGTCTGTAGCTTGGGGTGGCTCTTGGACCCAGGCCTGCTGTTGGATAAGAAGGTGGTAGCTGTGGCCAGGAGTGCCTTTTACCAGCTTCAGTTTGTTGGCTAGCTGCAGCCTTTCCTGGGCAGAAAAGAGCTGTTCACTGTAGTGGATGCCCTGGTTACATCTAGATTAGACTACTGCAATACATTCTATGTGGGGCTGCCCTTGAATCAGCCACTCCCTTACAAACCTACCCAACTGCCATGGTTGTCTTCTTAGGACTTGCTTCAGGTGCCCCTGTCTTATGAGATTAGGTGGGTGGCAACCCAGGAGAGGGCCTTTTCAAGAATGGCCCCAAAACTCTGGAACTCTTGCCCCAGAGAGAGTCACCTGTCCCCCTCTGTTGCTATCTTCTGCCAGTGGGTAAAGACTTTTTGTTTGGTCTGACATTATCTCAGTGATCCCTCCTTCCTGCCCTATGTTTTCTTTGGTATGTATTCTCCCTTGTGTATAAAATCCTTCCCTATTTTCTTTATTCTTCCCCCGTAAGTAATGACATTCACCTTCCCTTCTTACCATTTTCCCCAAGTAAAACTAACTCTTGTTGTGTTAAGAAAGCGTGTGTTGCCTCCAGATTGCTTGAGTGTAAAAGGGCTGGGTTTTTGTGTATGCCAGCTCTTAACTGAGCGAGTCATTGTGTTTAGCAGAATTAACTGTCTGTTTGTGTGTGTGATAGAGAGAGGCAGAAATGGGCCTTCAGACCCTATCTGAATAATGGCATGAGCCATTATTTCAGGGACAAGCTACAGCCAAGGAGGCTGGGGAAATAGGGCCTCCATCGTGCCCTTCCTGAAGTGCCTGTCACATCACCTGTAATTATTTAGACATTCAAGTTCTAAAGAGGGCTTCTTCAATAGAGGCCAAACCTCCCTAAAACCATTTCCTTTTAAAGGAGGTATTAATCACCCCTAGGATTTACCTGGATTTACCCTGGAGAGAGCCAGCGTGGTGTAGTGGTTAGAGTGCTGGACTAGGATATGGGAGTCCTAGGTTTAAATCCCACACTTCTGAAGAAGTGTGCATGCACACAAAAGCTTATACCCAGAGTTAAACTTCGATGGTCTTAAAGGTGTCACTGGACTCAAAGTCTTAAAGGTGTCACTGGACTCAAACTTTGTTCCACTCTGCCACAGAAGCTTGCTGGGTGACTTTGGGCCAGTCACGCACTCTTGGCCTAATGTACCTCACAGGGTTGTTGTGAGGATAAAACAGAGTACAAGAGAACAATGTAAACTGCTTTGGGTTCCCATTGGGGAGAAAATAATAAAAATATAAATAAAGTAAATTTTTAAAAAACTTGGTCATCTTCCCCCACCCCAGCATTTTGGTATAAACAATGAATGGCAAGGCTAAGCAAGGAAGTGGAAGGCCACACCTCTCCAAGGGCCTTATTGATGTTTGCAAGGCACACTAACTGAAAGCCATCCAACAAAACCTGACCAACTGTGTTTAGAGGTCTCCTATGACTTAACGGTCAAAAATTCAGAGTCTTAAGTCCAGAATAATATCATGTATAATGTATAAGAACATAAGAGAAGCCAATGTTGGATCAGGCCAAAGGCCCATCCAGTCCAACACTCTGTATCACACAGTGGCCAGAAATACCAGTGCCATCAGGAGGTCCACCAGTGGGGCCAGGACATTAGAAGCCCTCCCACTGTTGACCCCCCCCAAAGCACCAAGATGACAGAGCATCACTTGCCCCAGACTGAGAGTTCCTATCTATACCTTGTGGCTAATAGATGGTGATGGACCTCTGCTCCATATGCTTATCTAATTCCCTTTTGAAGGCGTCCATGCTTGTAGCCGCCACCACTTCCTGTGGCAGTGAATTCCAAGTGTTAATCTTCTCCATTATCACAAAGACATCATTCTATTGGAATTTTAGAATGTTTTTTTCAGGTAGAATAAGCCTTTTCTTACATGACTTGCCTTCTAAACCATGGAATGCAATACTGGTGACTTGCTTCATAAGTTGTAATCTAAGTCCTTCCTTTTGGATCATCTTCTTTATTTCTAGGCATCTACATTCCTGAGAATGATGCAGGTGCCCCTGAAAGATTCCGTGGCATTGGTGTACGCATAGAAGATGACGTTGTAGTGACAGAAAACACACCGCTGATTCTGTCTGAAGATTGTCCAAAAGAAATATATGATGTTGAACAGGTCTGTGGTTCTTGACCACTGTTCATTGCCTTTTTCAGGTACAAATCAGGAAATGTGCTCCTTCTTAAGCAAATTCCTTCATTTATATTTTATATGAAAGAGCTACAGGACATCAAGACTGATGGGTACACTGTTGCTGAGGAAACATTATTGGGAGGAATTATCTTGGACAGGAAAACATATTTAAATGAGAAAAATGTATTTACATTTGGCAAGTATTCTACTTTATTGCTAATGTTAAAAGAAATCAGATGAAGAAGTTGTATTCCACCTTCCACTCTTTGGACTTTGTGTGTGTTCTGTAATAACTTTGTTCACTGCTTGGGTGGGGGTGGGGGCAGACTGGGATGAATTCTGGCTTTCGTGCAGACTGCCTTTTATTTTAATTTGTAAGCCGGACAGAATTTTGCTTTATTCTTCTTACAAAAGATAATATTTTCAAGATACCAATGCATATGTTCTAGCTGATGGATGGAGATTTATAGAGGATTACCAGACAAAACTTGAATGATGATAGTTGCTTCTTTCTAGAAGGTAAAGGAAGGTCTTTTGCATTAGGACATACATTGAAATTGAAGTATGTTATGACTGGGAAATGCAAGTAACAACCTGATCCCATGCAGAGTGATTTTCAAAATCTCATGCTTGACTAACTATGCGTATGGTTGTGTTTGTAAATTAGTAATAGGCAGACAAAGATCAATATAGTGTTTCTGAGCTAGTTTGATGGGTCTGACTAGATTCAGAATGCTGTTTGGTTTGAGTGAGTTCCTTTCTTCCTATTGCCTCACATCTTTGATTTTCTTTTTCTTCATCCACTTTCTTGACATGAGTGGATATGTTAGGGCTAGGTACAGATACCCAGGAGCAAAATATTTGCAAATTGAAGCTGTTGAAAATGGTATACATGCTTTAAGTTGCCATTTTTCTTGACGAAATATACAAAAATAGTGACAAGGAAAATATCAAACTCCTATTCACAAATATTTCCCTTAGAAATGTAGTGAGTTAAACATGTATGCATCTATCAACTTATGTGGAGCATATTATTTTGAAGTATTCCTATCTAAATACAATATATAAAGTGAGACGTGGCCTTTAGGCAGTTGTGTTCTTTCTGTAAAGAAGTTTAGGCCTCTCTTCTTCATGAAACAGCAGAGTCCCTTTTGCTTCAGCTTCTGATAGCATAATAAATAGGATAATGGACTACTTTCTGGAAACGGAAAAATGAAAACGGACACTAACATGAATGAAATGAAAATGTTGTATTGATTTAGTTAGATCAAAATACATCTTTTGTCATGGATTTTTTTTGTAAAGGAGGAAATGTTACAGAACAATCAGGCAACTAGACTTTGTGGAACACTTCTGTGATCTCTAAATAAGAGGTATTATATTTTTAAAGAGAAATATATATATATCAATAAAGGTGTATGTATCAATAAAGGTGGCATTTTTAAAAAGCTTTCAAACTCAGACGTATGAGATTGCCAGTTAGGGAGCTTTTATATCCATATGTACCCTTCTTGTGATAACATAATTCAAGGAGAAGGTACTAGCTTTTGACCAGTAAATTAATTTTCAGTTGTTCCAGTCTTTGGTGAGTACATGTAGATTAATGTTAAGTGAAAAGGACATCAGCCACTAGATAGACATAAGTTTTTGTTAAGAGGGAAGGGGGCAAGATTCAAGATGTGCAATTTTAGTGGTCTGTGAGGCTACAGCACACACCACACACCCAAAGAGTAGTTCCTTGGGGTTCTAATAGTGAGCTGCTGCTTCTTGAGTGACAGGCTGCTCATGTTCCTTCTTCCACAATACTTTGCCACAGCATCCAGAGATTGCTGCATTTCATTCATAAGGCTGCTTGATTGTTTGTTTGGTCCTTTAGATGTAAGCCCAACCAGAGGAGGAGGATGTGGTCGGATAAGCATGTTAGCATAGTATCTTCACTTTGGAAAAAATCCAGAGCATAGTACTCTCCAGCATAAAGAAGCTGGGCAGTATGTGAGGATTTTAATCAATAGGGCTAATATCACCACTTTTATAGTGAAGGGAAGAATAGCCAAGAACAGCGTATTTTCTTCTTCTGTTCAAAATGCTATACTGTTTTGTTTCAAGGCCTAATATACAACTATACAATCCCAAATTAACAGTCCCAAGTAAAGATACATTTTTCTCCATTTTAATCATTTCATTAATGTCTCAGAGACTGTATTTTTAAATGCCTTTTGTCCTAAAGAGTTTTATGAGCTTTAACACCAGAGTAGGTGAAGTTTGTATAATTAGGCAGAAGTTCTGTATCTTTCAGTAGGGCTCTGGTTTTCCTTTTGTTACTGCATGCAGCTACATTAGCTAACAATTCAGTTATTTGGAAAAAAAAAGTTTCAGACAAGTTGGATCTGCATTCTGCGGAACAGAGGTTTTAGGATCCTTCTTTATTGACAACCATTTTTACAAATCCTTGGTGGAAAATTTTGAGAAGTTTTTTTCCATAAAACAATGTTGAAAGGCATATTTCCTAGAAGAGACAGATCATATGAGATTCTTAAAAGAAACTGTGCCATCCTATTGGATACCTTCAGTGCTAATTTCTATGCCTATAATCCTTGTAGTTTTAAAAACAGTAACAGTGCATGTACTGTATTAAACTTTGAAATAATCTGTACTGGATTTTTATTTTGTATGAAATATTGTGTAATGAAACCACGTCTTCCATCTGAATAAAATGCTGTTACTTTTTCTCAGATGCTGCCTCCCATTTTAAATCCTTAAAGTTTAGACCAAATCTGAGCTGTCTGTAAACAAATTGTTGTAGTATCTTATACAGCTGTCTAATTCTTACCTGTTTTGAGACAACTTCAAGACAGCTTCAAGAGGGAATTAGATAAGCATATGGAGCAGAGGTCCATCAGTGGCTATTAGCCACAAAGTATACATAGGAACTCTCAGGCTGGGGCAGGTGATGCACTGTGTTCTTGGTGCTTGGGGGGGGCAACAGTGGGAGGGCTTCTAGTGTCCTGGCCACACTGCTGGACCTCCTGTGGCACCTGGTATTTTTGGCCACTGTGTGACAGAGTGTTGGACTAGATGGGCCTTTGGCCTGATCCAACATTGGCTTCTCTTATGTTCTTAACAGGATTGAAGAAAAACAAGAAGCTTCTAAGACTTTAATTGTGAACTGCTTTACACACACGTGGGCTGTCTGCACTAGTGCTTTATCATATGTAGTGCTGAATTGAGGCTCATGCAGCCCTTTAGGTAGGGACTTTTTTGTGAGGGGGCCTTGGTGGGGGCGCCAACTAATTAAATTGGAGGGCAGCTTCCCTCCTGCTCAGCAAGGGCAGCCCTTCCCTGTGGAGCATCTGGCTCCGTCCCTCCCAGAAGGAGCCCCAGTGCTCTTTCCCACGTTGGCACACCAGGGGCAGCCTGACCTCCACCCTTGGCTCCCTCCTGGGTCCAGGAGAGGCAAGGCATGTAGTGGCTGGGCTGGCCACAAAGGGGCAGCGTGTGGGCACATTGGTGCACAGGAGCACAGCCGGGCACGCCTGGCCAGGGCCAGACAACACGCCTGCTTGCCACCTTGCCTGGTTGGGCTTACCTGCTGCTGGTGGGCCAAGCACCAAGCATCTCTCACCCCAGCCTCATCGCCTCTGCTGCTGCTTGTGCCACTCTCTCCAAGGCTCAGGGAGGGAGGCCCATAAAAACCACTAGGGGGGCTGGGCCCTGTGGGCTCCACAGTAGCTACAGGCTTGGGCTCATGTAACATATTTGGCTTCATCTGCAATTCCTGCCCTGTTTATCCCCACTTCACTCATTAACCTCTCATGCTTGGGGTATTAGCTAATTTGCTACAACACAAATACCTAGGTAAGCTAGAAATTACCTAGCACAAGCATAATTCACACAAAAAACACTGCTGTTTCTAAATCTCAATTTATCAATCCCTCTCTTGTTGTTAAAAGTTACATATTTCTATGGTAGAAGTTATCACAACAATATAACTTCTATCCAGAATTAGACACTGAAACAATGGGCTTAAAGTAATGTAACTCTGTGTAGAATTGCACTATTAATCATAGAGTCATACTTGTGCAGTCCAATCCTTTGAAAAGAAGTAAATCCTACTATGTTGAATGGGACTTATTCCCAGGTTAAGTGTGCACAGGATTAGTTGTTGTAGATTTTATGGGCTGTGTGGGTGTGGTCTTGTGCACAGGATTGCAGCCTTAGCTGTGTACTTGTTTATAAAATGGATTTGATACCTGGAAAGCAGCTGCTTAAGGGAGAAGGGTGTGCATATGGCAAAAAGGGATTCAAAACGAACAATAGGAAGAGTTCGTTACTTATTTTGATTTAGAGGCTGTGCTATTTCAAGATCCCATGACATTTGTTAGCTATTTTAAGTGACAGCTATCTTACCAAACCACTCACAGTGTAAGAAAAGTTGGATTAAAAAGGACAGTTTTAAAAGATGCGAATGTTTTAAAATATTTTCTGAATAACATTTTTAAAACGTCTCAGATGCATATCTTAAAGACAGGGGAGATGCTGTTATGCTCTCTTGGACAGTCTCTGTGGGTGGGGGGAGGATGAGGTTAATCATACATGCATGTAAACACATACGTACGTTTATGCAGAAATAGTAGTTGAAATAGGCCTCAATCCTAAAGACACTTTCCTGGGAGCAAGCAACTTTGGGACTTGCTTCTCAGTAGACCTGTTTAGGATTGCCCTCATAGCTACCCACTGCATTCAGTAGCCTCCTTTGTGTTAGCAGCTTTGTTGGTTGCTGTCAAGGATCCAGTCAGTGTCAGTTACAGGGAAAGCTCTACTCTTCCTACAGTGTGTGGGGAAAACGTTTCAGACACACAAAAAGGCAAATCAAGGAACAATTAGCAATTTAAGATGCATTGGTGTAACTTGGGAAGTTCACTGGGATTTTCAGGTGCTGTTCCTGTCTGCTTTGCCGATAGGCAAGGACAAGCTGAAGGCCTGTAAGAAAGCTGGGAGGAGGGTGGAAATCCCAAAGTCTCGTCCTGGAAGATCCTGTAACTTCTCAGGGTCTTGTTGTGTTGTTGTTGTCATTTAAGTGACTCACAACATTCCATGCCTCACCCTTGGTTCTCTTGAGGCCACCATTCCCCGTTTCTTTTTGGTAAATTTACTTAGTGGTATTTCTTAGCATACCTACAGAATCCCCCAAGCAGGTAGAAAACCCTACCATGACTGCCAATGGCCTGGATTTGCGTTCGCCCGATCGTAACGGGGCCCAGTCACTTTGCTGGAACAAGAAATACCTGGCGCAACGATCGCGAAGAATGGTAGTGGAGGAAGAATCCTATCCGAAGCAGCAAGCCCCGTTTTACTTTCAAATAAACACGCATCGGACAGAGCTGTACGGCTTCCAATCTGAAGCCAATTTGGGAGCAAGTACTACTGAACTACATGAGATTCACTTTCGAGCAAACGTTGTTCGGCTCCGGCTGTAAGCGCCGAGTCCATTACAGGTCACTAGTGCCAATTTGTGCAGGGAGTTTTTCTCTACCTTTTCTGAAGACAAAGGCTATAGCGTGGACGGAGGCCCGTATATATCATATTAATAGTGCATTACTAAAGGAGAATAATGGATTCTCGTGGGGACTAGATACGCACTGGTTTAGCAAGGATTAGTCATCCCAATTAGGGTTGTGCATGGGTGGATGGATAGATGGACGGGCGGCGCGGTGGAAAAGAGGGGGGGGACGCGTTCGGAGCGAGTGGGGGCTCCTAGCAGCCCCCCCCCCCGGGCTGGCCCGAACGAACGTCGTGATTCTACAGAGACTGAAGGATATGACAAGATTGTTACACGGGCGGCATTTAGCGCTGCTTGGCGCGGGACTCGTGGCCTCGAAGCACTGGGAAAGTGACAATTTCAACCCTTTTTAAAAAGCTCCCCGACGAACTGACATTCATGAATTCTCAGCTATCCCTTTAAAAAGAGCCTTTCCCTCCTCCCCCGCTTGGGTTGGGCAATTCTACCAGGAGCGAAGACGATCCGAGGCCTGCATACGGACTCCGCCCTGACTAGCGCCTTTAAGAGATCGAGGGCACGTGATCAAACCCCCTCTTTCTCCCCCTCCTTTTTACACATCTGTTTGTGTGGGGGGGGTAGTTATGGAGGATGCCGTCGGTGTAGAAGAGAGATATCGCGACACGAGGCTGTCAGTCTCGCGCACGCGCGCTAAAGGTAACCGGTTGAAGCTATTTTATCCAAAATGGCTGCTGCGATGGATGTGGACACTCCGAGTGGGGCTAACAGTAGTGCCGGCAAGAAGCGTTTTGAAGTGAAGAAGGTAATCTCTGCGGGAGAGTCAACCAGGTTCAACGCCGTGCTGGAGATAGTGGTGTGGTGAAGCTGGGAGGGCGCTGAGTGGTTTAATTCTTCTCAGGAACCAGGTCCATGTTTATTGCTCTCTGCTAAAGAGGAGTATGTAGCGGGGTGGGACTTCCAAGAGGATGAGTTTTGTTCTGGGGCCTGGGCAGATGTTGGAGTGAGTGGGGCTAGTGTATGGCTGTTGTAGTTTGGTGTAGTGGTTAAGTGTGTGGACTCTAATCTGGGAGAACCGGGTTTGATTCCCCACTCCTCCACTTGCACCTGCTGATGTGACCTTGGGTCAGTCACAAACTCTGGCACAGCTGTCCTTGAAAAAGAGCAGTTTGTGTCAGAGTTCTCTCAGCCCCACCCACCTCACAGGGTGTCTGTTGTGGGGAGGGGAAGGGAAAGGAGTTTGTAAGCCGCTCTGAGACTCCGAGTGAAGGGCGGGGTATAAATCCAGTCTCTTCTTCTTCTCTTGTTGTTTAGCGATAGAGGAATCTGAGGAAGGAAACGGGGGTAGGAGTTGCCTGTATCGTCTGTGTATGTTTTTAAGTGTGCACGCTTCTGATATTGTGGTGTAGTAGATTAGGACCTGACTGCAAATTCCTACACAGTCCTATAGCACATTGGATAGTCTTGGACCTGTAGCTCTCTCGCTGCCTAATCTCTTGTTAGGGTAGAATTGGGAGGGGACTGTGTATGTTTCTCTGAATTTGTTGGAGCAAAGGTAGGGTAAAAATGAACAGGCAGAACAGAAGAGTCAGTTCACCCCCCCCCTCCCTTGAGGTGCTTGTAATATAGGAATGAATAAATAACTTTGTGTGGATTTTTATATTGTACTACTCAAATTGCATAGCATCAAAAAATAAACATGAGTTGCCTGGAAGGTAAATCATTAACACTGCAATCCTAAAGAGAGTCACTCCAGTCTAAGCCTATTCATTCAGTGGGTTCAGATTGGAGAAACTGCATAGGATTGTGCTGTAAACCATTTAGATTGCTTCTAGTTCAGAACACTTTTGTAGTGCCTTTTGTTATACTTTGGATAAATTAACATACTGGCAAATATAACAATATTGTTGTACAAAACTAGGTGGAGGAAGTTATGTTTGTTACTGTCATGTATGCTGCTTGTAGCTTTATTTCATCATGGGCTCTGATCAAGATCCTCTCATAATCAAAATCCCTAAAACATCTTCTGGTGAGCTGGGTCAATTCTTGACTAGTCATTGTTTCCATTGCATCCTGAATAATACCCAGGCATGGCAATTTGTGATCCAGTAGTCTATCCCAGTTGCTTATGTGATGGTCCAGTTTAACTAGTCCAAGGAAGCTTGATTCTAGATTTGATTTAAATATCCTAAATTTCAGATTAAATGCTCTTCCCCAGGCTTTTGCTTCAAAGGACATCTCCCCAGCTTGGGCTCTCAGGGCTATTCCAGTCACACACTGAGGAACTCCCAAGATATTGTGTAGGAATCTTAGTAGTGCTTTATCAATGTTGTCTGTTACTGGTCTGATCCAAACCCTGGCAGCATATAGCATTTGCCCAACAACTCTAGTGATGAATACCTTAACTGCTGCAGGAACATATTGGCCCCCAGAGAAATAGTAGAATCTTGAGATGATAACTGACTTTTAGATTCTCCTCCTGTGGGATGGGGGTTTGCTGTTATTACTTAGGTTGTAAAAACAGTAAGAAGTAAAATATTTCATTATGGAAAAGCATAACTGTTTTGGGGTGGTACTTGAAGTCTTCGCTGTGGTCATTTCTTGCTTGGTAGGAATAAATCCATTTTTTTTCCTCTAAAGGGCATCTATGTTTCAAGTCTTTATAAATATATTGTGAAAGGGATAATATTATCTGACTTGAGTATGTTGTCTTGGGTGCAAGTGAAACAAAAATAAAATATGGAAATCGAAACAACTCAACATGTTAACGGCCTCCTCTTCAGAGAACAGCATCTTTGTAACTTGTGTTTAAGGGAAATGCAAAATTTAGAAATGTCTGTAGTGTACCAAATTAAGCATGTATGCAATTAAATATTTTCTTTAAAAAGTTTTTACCTTAAATTCTCCAGTTTGATTGTTGGGCTGATGGAAAACTTCTTTCTGCCTCAGTCATAGGGATCACACCACATAGAAGTTATTTTCCTCTACATTACTCATACTATAGGTGCAGTTGGAGGAGACAAGATAAGAATCTTTTTCAAATACAAGCAACATAACCAGGACTGTCAACTTTTGAATGGGCTTGTGTGGCTGGCCCTTTGACAGTAGTGTAGTCTGAAGCTATTAACAGGTGGAAAAGTTTTCATGCCAGGCCAAGCACAAAAGCAGTTTAATTCTCTTCTGTTCAACTGGAAACCCTGGTGATGATCCAGGTCCAAACACAGTTACAAATACCGCACCTCATTAATCCGATATACAAGATGAAACTGTTAGAGCCCATTGGCAGAGCCAGTTAACCATGTTGTGATACTCGAACTGTATTCAGATGTCACAAACAGACCAAAATTTGTCACAAGAACCTGACTTATTCTCAGGCTTACCTGCTTCCTTTGCCTCAAAAGCCAAGCCAAGATTGAAGACTTACAGGTTTATCAAGTCTGAATTTAAGTTCTATACCAAATGGGGGTTTGTTTCTTGCCATAGAACTGGGATCACAGTTTATAGGTAAAAAGTAAACCCAGAGTTTAGTACTTGAATGTTGGACATCACAAAGTTATTGTTATATTGAATGGTTCTAAATTAGAAGTTGGTCAATCTTGGCTCTGCACCAAGAGTGGAGGGAGCATGTGAGTTTGGGAATAAACTGGACTTGTCACAAACAAATCAGGTTTGTCTGAATACAACCTTTATAGTTTTTCATTTGCATGCACTGAACATGACCGGTTGTAATGTGGGTTGTGATTGTTCTGTGTGGAAAAAATTATTGGGGAGCAAGAAGTGCTGACTAGTAGTTGGGAGCAACCAATGAAATTTTGTTCTTTGTGGAATTATTTTAAAAAATAGACAGTAATTTTGTGGTATTTTAAAGACTTTTTATTCTAGTGTACTTTTGTGGACTAGAGCTCACTTCATCATGAAAGCTCATGGTAGAAAATCTTGCTTGCTTTCACATTATCACAAGACTCCTGTTTAGTTTTGCTACATGTTTAATCTGTTTTTTAAAAACCATGTAGTATGTACACTGTAGAGTTGGATGAGTTAATCAAACTTAGCTCTTAAGCAAGCTGTTCTGTTTGTGTGACTTAAAAGAAAATGGGCATTAGTGTTGTGGAGTAATCCGTTTCTAGATGTGTGACTGAAAAGCCAGTCGCTGCGTTGAGAGGCCAGGGATGGCTGAGGGTAAAGATGAAAGTGAATTCTAGCATAAGCCATTTGTATACACTTAGAGAATGTTTCTTCTTTTTATAGTGGAATGCAGTAGCTCTCTGGGCTTGGGACATTGTGGTTGACAACTGTGCCATCTGCAGAAACCACATTATGGATCTGTGTAAGTACTGGTGGTTGTGGGGAAGGGGATTTCAAGCACTGTAACTATGGATGTGCAGAGGGCTGAGAGGCGAATGAAGGAAATAATCATGCAGCTGTTTCAATTCTTGACAGATTATGGTGAGTAGATACAGAGATGGAATCGGGACAGTTGTTCAGACTACATCTGCAATTTAAACTTAAAACCAGTTTTACTGGCTTCTCCCTGAGGAATCCTGGAAATGGTAGTGGCTTGGTCCTGGGAATTCTTTTTCAGACTCACAGATCCTTCATTGACCTGCAGGTTTTTCAACTGATATTAAGGAGCCATGATATTTAAACAATGTTATATTTGTAGAGAGTTTAGCCATTGGCTAAATTACTTTGATGATCTGTATCGGTCCAAACCACAGTCTATACAGGTCTGAGGCAGAGATGTGGTGCTGAAAACTTTCCAGTGTCTTATTTTTCTGCAGAAATTTTTTTATTTCTAAAGATTTCTTGTTTTATAAACAATGAGTGTTCTTTAAGGCACAAAATTAACGTGAGGTGCATTTATATTTTGACTTCTAATATTTTGTTTAAATATGCCAAATCAAATCACATTGTATTTAGGACATTGAAAATCGTTCTGATTCTTATTTTTCCAGAGATCTAGGAGAATAAACATTAGATTTTCAAATGGGATCAGATTTAAGAGTCCTTCTAGGCCTGTGTTGGGTCTCCTGAGGAGCCTGTAAACAGAGCATTATAGACATAGCTACTATCCTTTTTTCCCTTCTCCATCTGATAATTTGACATATGCTATCTCTGAATATAGAGGTTTGGTTCGTAGTGACCATATCATTTGTGAACTTGTTTGATCCTCTTTTGAAACAATCTGTGGTGTCCAAGGCAACATTTTAATGAGCCCTTGTAAGTTGTGTGTAGAACAAGAATGAGTTTGTATAGTTAATGTGAAAGAATAAGACATTTTACCATAGGCTCTGGATTATCAACACCAATACGTCTGCGAATAAATTGGGATCTTAGTACTCTCAAGGGTTAGTTGGTACTTCTATGCACACTTACTTGGAGTAAGCCCCATTGAATGAAGTGTTCTGAGCAGACATGCATAGGTTTGTGTAGTTAGACCAGTTGCTTGTAGTTAATGTATTGATTTGTCCAATTATAAACAGAGTGGGATTATTTCACTTCAAACTCTGTTTTTTTAATTTGAGTTTAACATTAAGAGGATTAGTGCTAAACTGGAGACAGTGTATGGTAACCATAGTTAAGAGTTGAGAGCCAGCATGGTGTTAAGATTGTTGGACAAGGAACTGGAAGGACCAGGTTTGAATCCCTGGTCTGCTACGGAAGCTCACTCAGTGACCTTGAGCCAGTCACACGTTTTCAGCCTAACCACCTCACAGTGTTGTTGTGAGGATAAAATGCAGAACAGGAGAATTATGTCAGCCACCTCAGCTCCCCACTGGGGAGAAAGGTGGAGCATAAATAGAATAAATAAATACTAGAAAGGTAAGCCCAGTAGCCTGTTGTTGTTAGAGCTTGGAAGCTAAGCAGGGTTGGCCATGGTAAGTACTTGGATGGGGGTCCACGAAGGAAGACTTGGGATTGCTATCACAGAGGCAGGCACTGGCAGACCACTTCTGCCTATCTCTTATTTGAAAACCCCATGGTCCTGCGATTGCCATGAGTCAGTGTGGCTTCATGGCACACAATTGTTATATTAAAGAGGGAGGGGGAATTTAAGCAGAGGAGAAGGGGAAGAAATATGGAAGTTCAAACAGGCCTGCTACACATAGAATGGGAAAACTAGTTCTGTTATCAGAGGTCTGGTGTCATAAAATAGCAAACTGACTGAGGACTTGGAAAACTTCAGGTAAGTCAGTAAGCTGAACAAAATTGTGCACAAACACTTGGACATCGTAAATAATGAAGAAGAAATATTGAGCATATTTTCAACTGACTGCCAGGAGAGGTGATAAGATACTGTGAATGTACATACTAATCAACAAGAATCTCTGGCAAATTTAGAAACTAGTGAAATAAATCATAGAAAGGAGGCTGCAAATATGTTAATAGTTTAATAGCTTTTAATCCAAAACAAGCTTTTCAAGGACATTTAACCCCCTCTTGTTCATCTAGATCTGTTCAGTGAAGTATAATGGAAGGTGGAATGGTTGGTATAACTCAAAATTCCCCACTTAAAAAATTCCAGGTGCCTGGAAAGTTTACTGATGTAGTTCGTAAGATATACTTTTCTAGCCCTTCCCTTTAACGCTGCTGTTCTACAGCTGAATCTTCTAAAGAGCAGATTGGCACTAAATGTAGTATATGGTTTTTTAGACATTTCTCCATGAAGCAATCTACTGCATTTCACTTTTTAATTATAATTAAATGAAGAAGAGCATTATGACTACCTGTTGCCCAGAAAGAAACCTTGGCTGTCCATACTGGGGAGCTCACAAACTTTCTTTACTGTGCTTGGGGATGAAAGGAAGCAAATTCAATGGTTTGCATCCAGTCATCTATTAGTGGGTGGTGCTGAGGAAGAAGGGAACAATTTCACTCCTTTCTCCTTTTCACTGCAGCCTCCCAGCCCACACTGTTACTCAGTGCAGTCCTGCAGCCCTGGGAATAAACTTTTCTAGGGTCAGAATAGGCTTCTTAGGAAAGGAGAAAGTGAGGAAGATCTGTGATCCTTGAGGTGGAACCAACCCACTGCTGGGAATTACTGTGGAAGTGACTGAAAATAAAACACCAGGTATCCTAATGCTACTTAAATCTTTTGTGAGGCTACACTTAAAATACTGTTTGTAGTCCTGTTCACTCCAGTTGAAAGAGGATATTGCAGAGCTAAAAGGAGCCATTAAAAGATCAAGGGATGGAGCACTTCTGCTACAGTGAAAAGTTAAGATGTTGAGGTTGGTATCTTAAAGGTGACTAACAGATATGATAGAGGTTTATAAACCTCAGTGTGGATGTTTTCTTTCTCCTACTTTTGTAAGAGTAGAATTTAGGATCATCTTACAGAACTGGCAGAAGTATTTCTTCAGCAAAGCACAAATAACATGAAACTCACTGCTACAAAATTGTCATGAGATATCCCCAATCCAAGTTTTTCACTTCATTTTTAAAAAGATAACTTCTCCACTAAGTCCCTAAGGCTGAACCAGGCTATCTTACTTCAACAGCCACACCCTCCCTTTATAACTCCAGGACACTCAGATGTGTGGTGAAGATATGTTCTTCGGAGCACCTGATCCTCAGTGACAGAACTTATATTCTCCAGTACACTTTTCCTTTTGTTTATAGGATCCCCAGACAAGTTACAGTACTAAATGTAACAGACACTGGAGTCAAGGGGGGAAAAACACAAACTAACAAGTTGATTCAATTGGTAAAAGCAACTGGTTCTTCTCAAACCCTCTTCAGATTGTGCATTGCGAATTCATTGCCTGGTCTGTTGGGGAACTGCTTCATCCTCCCTGGTTGTGCTGAGCTCGAAGAACCACTTTCAGGCCCTGCATAGTAAGGAAGAGTAACTTCCACAATAGTGGGGACATAAATACTGTGTACCCTCAGTCCTTAGGTGTTTATGTAATCTGTTACGCCAGAGCAATTTCTGTCACATTGACCAAACTATTGTTACAATTCCAAATTGTTGTCACACAATATAGCTTTCTGACACAATAAAAATACATAAGGTTTCTGGCGATAGTATTTCCTGGCTACCAGATAACAGATTTGTAGCCACTGAATGTGTTCATATGGTGAAATATGTTAACCTCATACTTGTTTCCATAGGCATAGAATGTCAAGCTAACCAAGCGTCAGCTACCTCTGAAGAATGCACTGTTGCCTGGGGCGTTTGTAATGTAAGGAATCTGTTTCTCAACCCTTCCAAAGACTTGATCCTTTCCCACTTTTGCCATCAGACTAGTAAAGACCTAATCCACCAACAGGCAAATTTTTGGAACTGAAGTCATTGGGAAAGCAAGAGGCAATTAGCGCAAGCGTGTGGAAAGAAAATATGAGGGGAAATACAGCCAGTTGTAGTTAATAATTCTTAACATAAAGTAGTTTTATATGTGCTTCTCGAAATTATAACTTGAAAGCTGACCATCAGTCACCGGGGAAAAGCGTGATGGCAGCAGCCTACCTAACTATTAATATAAGTTTCCTTTGGAAGAAGCCTAAAGTCTGTGCTGATGGAATTGCAATGCTTGGAGGACTTCAGGGGGATTTTTAAGGAACTGCAAGTTCTTAGTAAGGCTCACAATTCGAAGTAATCATTTAAGAGTACGTAAGGGAACTTGGTGTTCATCCAGAATTGCATAGGTTTCACTGCTGTTGTTAATGGAATCAGATATTTGGTTAAAACAGCTTGCCATAACAACTAGGAACTGAACCTTTGAAAATGGCACATGCATACTGTTCATGAACATATACTTAAATATTAGCTTAGCTCCTAGCATAGGCTCCTGCCTGGCTCCTTGTATAGGCCTGTGCTGTGGTAAATGCTGAGAAACATGGTGCAGGAGGTAGGGGTAAACATTAATGGCAGAGCCGAAATTTATTGGGCAAGATGGGATCCTGTGTAGGGCACAAACTAGCCCTTACTCTGGAAGTTTTTGCTTCCCAAATGTTTAGATAGTTTCCTGTGTTACCAAGTTGCTCTTCTAAACATTGAACCTAAATGTTCCTTTGCCTTAGCCCCCAGATTCTGTTTAATCCTGTGCTTGCTGCCTACAGCACAATGTATAATTCTGCAGGCCGAATGTATGTAGCACCAATGGGCTCTTTTACTACTTTAAACAGCTGTGCTCACTGAAAATGTTCCTTACCAGCCTTTATAGTGCTAGGCTGGATGGTGACCTCTCCCTCTTACCATGCTGTTCCTTTTATAACTTTACTAGACCTATAAATACAGGTCAGAGCTTGTTGTTTGAGTAACTTGGACATTTTTTTCCAGCATGCTTTCCACTTTCATTGCATCTCTCGCTGGCTTAAGACTCGGCAGGTGTGCCCGTTAGACAACCGAGAATGGGAGTTCCAGAAGTAAGTATTCAGAAGCGCTGTACTTAACAATGGCGGCAGCGAAACAGCCTTAGTGTTGGCTAGACACTGTAATTGTTGCAAGAACTCTCCCTCACTTGAAGACACATTGTTTCTACACGGCAGAGTATTTCACACTCTGAAACACTCTTGCCCTTTGTTGCAGTCAGGTTAACAAGTGTGGTTTAACAATAGTTCTTAATCTTGCTCTTTAGGTAATGGAGAAAAGCCACATTGATTGCATAATCTCTGTAGATATTGTACAGAATTCTACATCAGTAGAATGAATATTCAAATAAATTTTGTTTCATTTCCCTTGGACAAAATCAGTGCCTCAGTAAACTTGATTCAGTAGATGATTTTTCATTGTGGGGAAACAGAAGTTGTGCTGAAATACAGGTCAGTGTCCTCTGTCCTATAGTTAAATTAGCTGCAGTGCTGCTGTTCATACGTAGAGAAGATAAAAAGCAGACCTCTTACTTGCAATAAAGAAGCACGAGGGATTGAGGTAATGGTATCTAGAAGCTGTTCCCATTGTATATGCAATGCCATTTTTTTCTGCATTACAGAAGTTCTCTACAGAGTTTATTTGTACATGAGATAGGTTTCCCCTATAAAGCAATGCCTTTAAAAGCATTTTACCATTCCTTTAGGAGAATTAATAAGATTACAGCCTCTGCACTATATACAAAGCTGACAGACATGAACAGTGTTCTTATTCCAGAAGATGTGCATAGGTCTGAGGTAACATGTTTGAGATCTGCAGTAAGATTGTCCGGCATCTATATCTGTCCTGCATTTGGGGTCAGTTAACTCATGTTGGAGTGCCAGCTGTGCCATGTTGCTACTTTTCCTGTTTAAACATGTACAATTTTGTATGTTTACCATCCTCTAAATGGCAGAGTGACCAGCCTGACAAAACAACAAGTGTGGGCATGATGCTGGACTGAACTCTCCCATAGGAATGGGGGGGGGGAAATGATCCTCTTGATATAGCTATTAAAAAGTGGTGATGTTTTTCTTCTAGGTATGGGCATTAGCAAGGAAGAGAAGATTGCCAGGTTCTAATGTTCTTACATCAGTTAAGGTTTCACCTGCAAGAGGGCCATTCCTGGGAATCCTCCACATGCTGTTATACATCTGTGTTGTCTCTTTGTTTTCACATGAATACAGTCATTGTGTATAGTAATAAAGTTTGCTGGTTGTCCTGCCTGATGAGTTTTCTTAGCTGGACCAATCTTGAATTGAATGCAAGTTCTTGTGATACATAATTTGAAAAAAAAATCTTAGTTAGAACAAGGAACATTTTCAAAAATGCTTCTTCAGGGTCTTCGCAGTTCTTGACTTTAAAAAGAGCTTTATTCAAGAAAACTTGAGCTGAGAAAGCTGTCTCCTTGTGCTTAATACAAAAAAACCCCTTTGAACTATGCTTTTTCTCATAACTTTGCAATAATTATTTAGCAGTAACAGGAAGAAGTTCATGAAGTTCTTAGGAAGCAAACACCTCATTCATAAAATGGTTGTGACCCAAAGACGCAACAAATTACTGTACAAGTTTGTATCCTGTGATGAATTGCTTGAGGTCTCATATTTCTTAGCTAGTATAGAATATTTTTTTAAAACTTCACCCTCCTCAACAGAAGAAAGCAGAGAAACCACAATTTCATTTCTATTTAAGGGTAACAGTAGTGACAAATTACACTTGCACAGACACATTCAGAATTGCAGTTTTTGTAAATGGCTTATGGCAACAGCCATCTTGAACTTGCTTACATGTGATCAGTCTATGCATACCACCCTCTGGGATTCTCTACAGATGCATAGCAACAGTAATGAGCAGTTGAGCAGACAGTCTTGGGAAGCAACTTATGGAGTGTAAGTTTGAATTCTTCATGGTCTGTTGTGTAGTCCTGTACATGGAAATTATGAATCAACACCACAGCTTGGAATGTTCTAGCGGGAACCGGGGGTACCACTGCCCTTCCACAGATGTGCACATTCCACTCCAGAATACATGTTCTGAAAGAATACTTCTAATGAGTTTTCTCATCCCAAAATTAATCCTCTCTCTCATTCATAAATTAAGTTTGACTTTCAGACTGAAACTCTGTGACAGAACATGCAACACACTAACTCTTCTGAAATTATTGTATAGAGAGGAGTGAATGTTTTTTACGGGAACATCAGGGGAAGGCCTTGACAGCTACGCCTTGTTTATTGACCTTCCAGGATAACTGGTTGACCACCGTGTACCACAGGCTTCTGGATTAAATGAACCACTGTTCTGATCCAGCAGGGCTTTACTTATGTTGTTATTCTGCTCATTATACATAAGAACATAAGAGACGCCAATGTTGGATCAGGCCAAAGGCCCATCCAGTCCAACACTCTGTGTCACACAGTGCCCAGAAATACCAGTGCCATCAGGAGGTCCAGCAGTGGGGCCAGGACATTAAAAGCCCTCCCATTGTTGACCCCCCCCCCAAGCACCAAGAAGACAGAGCATCACTTGCCCCAGAGCCCCTAGCTATACCTTGTGGCTAATAGCCACTGATGGACCTCTGCTCCATATGCTTATCTAATTCCCTTTTGAAGCCGTCCATGCTTGTAGCACCCACCACTTCCTGTGGCAGTGAATTCCATGTGTTAATCACTCTTTGGGTGAAGAAGTACTTCCTTTTATCCATTCTAACCCGACCTGAGGTAAGCCAGTCTAGAGTAGATGCTGGGAGGGGGTGGGGGGGGCATAGAACTATGCGAGGTGTCTTCCACTAACAGCTGTAATGCAACCAGGTAAGAAAATTTGCCCTCGTGCTCCATAGGACTATATGCAGATTGATGTAGGAAATAAGGGTGTAAGTGTTACAATTCCTAATGTACCCTGTAATGTATATACAGAACACAGAATATTTAAAGTATTTATATCCTGTTTTTCTCCCAATCAACAAGATTCAAAGCAGCTTGCATTAAATTCGAAAACACCGCCTCAGACATACAAATAAAAGGGAGCAAGTCAACCAGAACTCTCACGAGCTACCAAAGGCATGATGGAAAGGTGCTTTACACAGCCTCTGAAACTTCTGAGGATTGGGGCCTTCTTTCTGATCTGTTTCACAGCCCACGTGCAGCTATAGAGGAAACACAAGCCATAACAGTTCTTAGTTACCTTAGTGGGGGAACAGCTAATAAATCCTGGTCTGGTGATCATAGCTGCCTTGTGTGCACGTATAGGAAGCTAGCAGAACAACCTGAAGCTTCCAAGCTTCCAGGTTAACAAAAGTGCTTTTTATGTTTTTAAACGCACTTTAAAATACAAGAGTTAATATTTTACTGTTTCAATAGCAGGGATTAGATGGTGTTGAGAAAAAAATTATACTTTCATTTTAGTATTTAATTAGTATGGGCTTTGTGATCATGTAATTCAAGTCCTTAATGAAAATAGTTAACATTGGCTGAGCTAAGAAGTTGTTCTGATGAGTCAGGAAGGAATGAAAGCCGGTCTCTCCTATGCTTCCTGTTCTTCAGGTGTCTGTCCTGTACAGCAACTTCCTCTTCCCCGCTGGCCCCATTCCAAGCTCTTGCAAAGCTGTTGACAGCCTTCATTTTCAAGTGGGTAGGCTATATGCAGTTCCATCAGTTCTGTAGGGCAGAGTGAACGATGAATCATCTAGTGAGTGAGGAGGGAAGAGGTCTTAATCTTTCTGGAGTAATTTGTACTTCTGATCATACATGCAGCTACTCTGAAAAAAACAAACCTTTGTGGCCATTCTGTCCTAGTGATATAATGATACTCAATCCACCTTAGAGAGAAGATAAAAGTAAAAACTAGGTTGGAGGTCCAATACCAATTGGCTGTTAAGAACAAATTTGTATAAGAGGACAAAGCACTGTTATCTCCAGAAAGGTTTGCTTTTTGAAAAATTTATATTCCATCAGTACACTCTAGTCTACTTCTGTCTTTTTCATCTCTCAGAAATGATAAGCTTGAAGCAAGCACATCTTTGTTCCATGACTAGTAATTTAGTTCTGTAGCATAAGCATATTTGAAAGTTTAGCAGTGTATTGTATAGTTGCAAGTATTCATGATAAATCTGATAAGTAGATTTTTAGTCCAGATAGAACCCCTGTTCACAGGAATAACTTCTAAATCTCAATTTTATTTTATTTTTAAATAGGATCATTATTGAGGGGTTACATTGATCAGATATTTGTGCTACTTCAAACTGGCACATGTGGGTTTGTCCTTTGCAACAGAAACACCTGGAAAATTGGGTGGTTGTGGTGGTCATGCATGCTAGAAATTGTATTAGCATCCTTTAAGAATAAACTGGTAATTCATGAAGCGGTTGATTTAAAAGATAGCTATAGAAGCAGCATGAGAAACCTGGACATACTTGAAAAATTATGCAAATCACATTAAAGTAGCTGGAGGCAGTGTGTGTGTGAATGGCCAAAGGCAGACGGCTGTTAACCCTGCTACTACAGCTAGTGGCATCTTTATAAATGCCCTACCACAGTTATGCAGAACTCTGACAACACTTAAAGCACTGCAGAGTGTGGTTTGTTTGGTGCCTTCAAGACCATTATATTTATTGTAGGATAACTTTCTGAGGGCAATAGGTAACTAAATCCATCAAAGACAGAGGTCCTGTGCCTGAGTTGTGGAGGGGTAGATTTAGGGATCCAGCTTCCAGTGGGGTGCTATTGACACCAAAGGTGAAGAGTTTGGGCATGATCTTGGATGCCTCACTTTCTGTGGAGGCCCATGTTACTGCCATTGCCAGAACAGCTTTTTACGATCTTTGGCTGGTCAGGTAACTGGTTCCCTATCTCTCTCCTTGTGACCTAGCCACAGCGATCCATGCAATGGTCACCTCCAGGCTGGGCTACTGTAACTCACTCAATGATGAGGTTGAGGTTGACTTGGAAACTCCCAACTGGTTCAAAATGCAGCAGTGTGTCTTTACAGGGCCACCTTTTAGAGCACACATGCTCCACTAGCTGCTTTGGCTCTCAGTGAAGTACTGAATCCAGTTCAAGGTTATGGTATTAACCTTCAAAGCCCTGAGTGGTCTGGGACCTACATATCTACAGGACCGCCTCTCCCACTTTGTCCCTCGAAGAGCTCTAAACTCATTGGATCAACAGCTGCTGGTGGTCCCCAGCCCTAAAGACCAGAACCTCAACCAAAGCCAGAGTCTTTTTGGTTTGGCTTTGGCCTGGTGGAACACTCCTGGATGAAATTGGGGCTCTGTGGGATTTGCTTCAGTTCCACGGGGCCTGTAAAATGGAGGTGTTCCACTGGGCCTTTGGCTGAGGTGACAGGTGTCTCGTTATTCTGCCCTCCCCTGCTCTACCTGATACGTTCAGTGACTCTGGGGGGTGATTGCCCACTGCCCATTGTTCAATTCTGGGCATATTTTACAGAGCCATAGGAGCCTTATGCCCTGTGTTTATGGGCCATCTGGATTTGATTATTAATTGTATAACTGTAGAAGGTTTTACCTATTATTTTATTTGTACTTTTAATTGTTGTGAGTCACTCTGAGCCCTGCTTGCAGGAAAGGGCGGGATAAAAATCCAACTAATAAATATCCTAGTATCAGATGCATGAAGTAATCACCCATGTGGGTAGGTATACATAAGGTTGAGAAGGGAATATTGTGTTAAAAGTGGATTCAAAAGATGAAGCAGTCCAAGGGGTAACAGCTGATTTGTTACCAAGCCATACAGAGGACAAATTAATACTGAATCCAGTCAAATGCAAAATCTGATTACTATAGGTGTGATCCATTTAGCAGTCACTGGTGATGAATAAGCATAACAAGCTCTGTCATGTAAACAAACATCGAAAGAGGAGCTTTCCATTGCTGGGATTTGTTGGGACCAGCTATACAGCACCAAATTTACTAATTTAGTTCAATGTTGGTAGTTTCACATTGGAGTCTTCCTTCTGAAGCTTGTTGCACTGGTTAGCAAAAGAGATTGCATCCACATCTCAGGAAAGATTTGGGTAGGTTCTTATTCTCAACCCTTGCAAAGTATATCCATAGTCATGTATGATTTGTTTATAGCAAATTTTTATGCCATCTCTTCAAGCAACCTGCTTGAGGTGGCTTCCAAAATCAGACCCAACATAAAACAATAAAAGTTATTATTTAAAATCCAGCATTCCAAAGCCACACTTTGTTGTTGTTCAGTCGCAC